AGAGACAGAGAGCACGAGAGGGAAGAGGGTCAGAGGGAGAAGCAGACTCCCCGCTGAGCAGGGAGCCCGATGTGGGACTTGATCCCGGGACTCCAGGATCATGACCTGAGCCGAAGGCAGTCGCTTAACCAACTGAGCCACCCAGGCGTCCCTCTTCTGATCTTTAGACCTATACATAAACACTAGCAGCTCTACTCATGATCACACACTAAACATACCTCATACTTGATCATTATTGCCATACTGTTCCCCAGATAGGATTTGACTTTCTCTTGGCTAATGACCACTTACCCCATCACCTCTTCGATAAAATTTTTCTAACCCCGCCTTCTTTCCTCAGCAGCTCAGAAGATATAGCTCCCTTCTTTGAGTTTCCACAGCATTTTGCTCAAATATCAAGAGTAATTGGCAGGCTTAGTTATAGTTGTGTATGGATCTGTTTCCCCTTTCTAGGTGGTAAGCTTGCTGTGGGCAGAGACAAGGTGGATCTTAACTTGAGAGGAGCTGAGTAACTCCATAGCCCTCACCACTCATTGGGATACTCTTTAATTATTAATCTTTCTCATGTGTATGTCTGATCTCACCAATGAGTCTGTCACTTTATTAGAGATGCAGTCTGTATTTCTTTTATATGGCCAATAGCATTTACTTGTAATAGTAGTTATAAAACAAATATCATAAAACTATTTTTGGTTCCTTTAGTAGTCTTATAAATTGTGCCCATCCCCCACCCCCCAAATTTATATGTTCAAGTCCTAACCACCAGTACTTCAGAATATGACTATATGTGGAAGTAGGGCCTTTAAAGAGGTAATTAACGGAAAAGGAACTCATATGGGTAGGCTCTAATTCAATATGACTGGTGTCCTTTTACGAAAAAGAGATTAGGACACAGACAACACATGGACTCAGAGCATAACCATGTGAGGACACAGTGAGAAGGAAATTGTCTCCAAGCCAAGGAGAGAGGCCTCAGAAGAAACCAAACCTGCTAACACTTTGATCTTGAACTTCTAGCCTCCAGAACTATGAGAAAATAAATTTCTGTTCTTTAAGCCACCTAGTGTGTGGTGTGTTATAACAGTACTAGAAAACTAATATACTGTTTAACTGCTACTAACCAGATTCGGGGGTTAAGGAGCAATACTTCTTTTGGACTTGACGGTTGAAAACAACACTTTTTTTTTTTTTTTTTTAATTCTAGAGATGGGTCCCAAATCAGACAACGGGTTAAATGGATAGGATACTTCAAAAAAAAAAAAAAAATGGATAGGATTCTTGCCCACATAGTTTTAAGCCAGGGAGGGATGGAATTTATCAGAGTTATTGGCACTAAAATCTAATGGCTCCTATATATTTCTTGTTCTTATTCTTTTTTTCTTTTCTTTTTCTTTTCTTTCTTTCTTTCTTTCTTTTCTTTCTTTCTTTCTTTCTTTCTTTCTTTCTTTCTTTCTTTCTTTCTTTCTCTTTCTCTCTCTCTCTCTCTCTCTTTCTTTCTTTCTTTCTTTCCTCTTTCTGATGAAAGTTGAGCAGACATTTGCTGTTTATGCTACAAGATAACCTAGATTTGACTATAAAACAAACTGTGATGTTTGGGCTGTGAAAGATTTGCAGTTTGATAGTAAGGGAGATGGGAATGCCATGTTGAGTTTCTGCCCCAAGGTGGTAGATGTATAACAGAGCCCAGAGACTGGATCATCATTTGGGCTTAACAAAGGAACTGTCTAGGTGTGTATAGCAAAGAATCTTTTGAGCTGCTCTTACTGTTAACAATCTGGTTTCATATACCCAGATGATTAGATGTCATAGACATCAGAAGGAGGTCAATAAAATTCAAGCTTTAAACTTTGACAATAATTTGAGCTGAATAATAGTTGAATTTCAGAACCGAGTTGTCATGGTGAGAGCCATTGAAAAGGAATAATTATCTTATAACTGGGTTACTGCCCTGCTGAACTCATAGCAATATCCCTAACCCCATTTCCTAACTCACCAAGCCCAGATCATATTAAGCCATGCTTAGAAACATTATTTTTATATTCTTTTATGTATATATTTGCATTCATAGCCAAATATATATGTGTGTGTGTATGTGTGTGTATCTCAAATATATGTAATATATTTGAATAAATATGCATTCAGTGTAACTAATGGAAAAATAGTACAGGTGGTTTAATTAGCTATAAATTGCATATTCTGGGAAAAAAATACCAAAGTACCATTCAGGTATTCTCAAGAGCCAGGTTACCATAGTACAGAGATGTTAGCAGTAATTCTTTTTGCAATTTAACATATATGACGATCAAGCCATTTGTTTCCATTACTTTTGTGAACTAAAATTTCAAATCATTTCTCTTGGGTAATACCATACATTTTCTCCCTTATTAATCCATAACAACACTCTGGGGCACTTCACTAATCAAAATTGCACATGCATAATAATTTACAATCTAATAAATATAAGCTTCTTCCACATCTCATCAAATGTAGATGCAATTATTAAAAGGTACTAAAATACTAAGTATAAATTCAAACTAAGAGGAAATTTAGATGCATCAAAAATAGAAATAAATCAAATGGGTATCTTATTTTAAATACAGTTTAATCAATTATTCGAGGAAAATCCCCAGGGTGTTTTCAATGAAAGTGAAAAAAAAATGACAATTCTTCCACCAAGACAAGAGATTTTTTCAAGTTATGCCAATAAGTGAAGGGCAGAGGGAGGGAATGAAGATAATTATTACTGTTCTATTTCTGATGGCAATGAAATGAAAGAGAAGAGAAAATTGAGAATTAATGAAGAGGAGTCATTCATGTTCAAGACATGATGACATATCTCCTCCTCCCCTATTAAAATAACCAATAGAAAATATACAGATTATGAAAAGTCTTTACCAGCCACAGAATCAAGGAAAAGATATCAACTACATGGCAGGAATTTAAGGAATTTCTGTGAACTAATATAAACATGGCACCATACTAGGGAAGTTTGGAGGATGAGTATGTGGCTCCTCTCTGAGCACAGAAGCAGCATGAAAGGAAGTAGAGGAGATGGTGGCCGGAAACATCTTGTACTTATCTGAGATAGGAGAGAGCTGGAAAATAAGACAGTACAACCACCTCCCACACCTTCTAACTTCCAGGGCATTTGGCACCTATGGCTTGGGATGGCTCCAGGTTTTGTCACTAGTATTGCTATCCAAACCCTGCAGAGACCTAGAATTGCATGGTCTCTGCCTCCTGGGCAAACTTTCACCATTCGGAGATACACTTCACAGGGAGTCAGTGCTCCTTCAGGCCCAATTCTGTCACCACCACTGTGTTGAGACTACTTGAGCTGCACTGGAAGATTACAATTTATTTTATATGTGACTTTCCTCCTTAATTTTTCTAGAGCAGTGACACAAAATTCTGACAGGAGCCAACCTACTTCCTATTTGGCTAAAAATTGGTAATGGATACATTAGATTCTTTTTGGAAAAGAGAGAATGGCAGGGGGAAGCAAGGTCTATCAATAAATATTACAAATTTAAAAACAAAACAAAATGGAAAACAGGTAACCCTTAAAAACTAGAATAATGGCCTCCAAATGAAATATATTACTGCAAGAAATGGGAAAATGTGTATTCTCAACAAGATCAGAGTTCACTGCAACCATGATGACATTGAGGGAAAAAGTCATGAAGACCATGGAGGATTGGATGGAAATGAGAATCAGACTTGTCAAAATAAAAATGCCAGTGGGACCACTGAATAGCAAATTGCACACTGTATCAAATCAAATTGGTGAGTTAGAAGAGCAAATGTGAGAAATTCTCCAGAAAATCAGAAGAAAAAGACACAGATGAAAATGAATAGACTTAAATTTACATATAACAGGGATCCTAGAGAGTATAAACAGGAAGAACAAAAACAATAAAAGAAAATATGATTGAAGACAATGACAAGGAAAAGATATGAGGCTTAAAATTGTGAAGGAATATTGTGCTTTAGGTAAACATCATGGAAGGTATACCAAAAACAGACAAAACCTCATAGAATTTCCTAACTTAGGAATATTTAGATTGTCATGTATACTTGGGGATACGTTAACTTACAGATTCTGTTTCCCTGGATAACCCTAAAATGGGTTCCATAATTAAATAAATGTAATAAATTATGCTACAACCATTACAATGTAATCCTATGTAGGCACTGAAAGTGATAAAATGATTCATATTGGAAATATATATATGCTTTTAATAAATCAAATATAAAAGAAATTATAAAATAGCAAGTATGCTATCCCACAAATAATATAGATATATCTATAAATAGATATAGATGTATATACTTAGCAAGTTAGAGAAAGATATGTTTCAGAGGAATGCTCTCTAAGTGGTAAGAAGATGATAGGTGGATTTTAACTTTATTCTCCATGCCTTTACTATATGCATATATTTAATTCCAGTATAGTTAACATACAGTGTTATATTAGTTTCAGGTGTACAACATAGTGACTCAACAATTCGATACATTACTCAGTGCTCATCACGGTAAGAGTACTTTTAATCCCCTTCACCTATTTCACCTGTCACTCCACCCACCCCTTCTGGTAACCAGCAGTTCATTCTCTATAGTTAGGAATCTCTTTTTGTGTTTGTCTTTTTTGTTGTTGTTGTTGTTCATTTTTTTTTCTTAAATTGCATATATGAGTGAAATCATATGCTCTTAGTCTTTCTCTGAATGAATTATTTCACTTAACATTATACGCTCTAGATCCATCCATGTTGTGCAAATGGCTAGATTTCATTCTTTTTATTTTTATTTCTTTTTGTTAGATCTCTTGTTTTTTTTTTTTTTGTCATTTACTTATACTGCAACCACAACTATGTATAGTGCATCAATATGAAATCCTTTTGAAATACATAAATATTTTTTAAATGGAACCTATACAAAAATCACATACTGTTGGATAGGATGTTGAAATGACTGGTGTGTAATATTTTTTAAAACCTTCATTTTTGGTCGGCACAAATTTCCTTTAATTTTCATTTCCAGTAGGATTTCATTTTGAGGTTTAACGTGTATGAAGCCAGTATGAAGTTTTATAGTGTAGTAATTCTGGATTCCAAGTCATTTAAGATGAAAACTGAAAGGTGAAGTTTACTTAAGAAAATTAATTTTCTTCTTCTGTAACATCTAAGTCTTCATCCTCTTCATCATCATCTTCTGCCTGTTGATCCTTTCTTAGTCGACAGGTGGATACCTGTCCTGTTCCAGATATACACTTAGCTGAGAGTGATCTTTGAAGAGGCGACTTTGAATTTGCTCTTACGATATCTAAACGGGATGCATAATCTGGTGGATACAGAGAATTTCGGAACACCTCCAAATCTTCTTCATCAATCTTTTGTATGTTTTGGTAGGCAGCAGTGTAGACCTCTAAAGCTTTGCCATGAAATAACATTTCAATAGTGATAAATTCTGAAAATATAGTCTTTATATCCTTTATTTTCTGCTTTTCAAAATTGTCAATAGTTTCCTCCAGATGACGAGTTGTTTGGGTAGCATCCATTGTAGCTCTCTGCAATTCAGTTTCTGCCTGGGTTTCTATTTCTTCTTTTTTTCTGAAAATTCTTCAAAATCAATAACATGTCGATCAGATGGGTTTCCCTGACGTGTTCTTTCTGAGTTAACTGTTTAGCTTCTCGACTCCTTGCTGTTAATGTTGCTTTGAGGTCATCTCGTTTCATTTTTTTTTTTTTAAAGATTTTATTTATTTTTCCGACAGATAGACAGCACAAGCAGGCAGAGTGGCAGGCAGAGGGAGAGGGAGAAGCAGGCTCTCCGCTGAGCAGGGAGCCAGACGTGGGGCTCGATCCCAGGACCCCGGGATCACGACCTGAGCCGAAGGCAACCGCTTAACCGACTGAGCCACCCAGGCGCCCCTCGTTTCATTTTTACAGTGGTTCCATAAGCTTTCAAAGGTTCAACTACTTTGGCTTCAAGTCTTTCAACCTATTGAAAATTATTATAAAATATAACTCTGCTTGTCGATAATCCTGAAGTTTGGCAAACTCATCAGCAAAGTTTTTCAGGCCCTGTTTTAAATTTGGGGTCTCTGTAGAGGCATACACATTGATTTCATTCACCAGTAGGTCAGCTTTGTCTCGCAGTCTGGCAATTTTCCGCACATACGCAGCAAAGATTTGGCGCAGCTCTCCGAAATGCTTCTCCACATTTGTGACAGCATCTTGCAGTTGTCTGGTTTGAGCGTCCCTTGCGCACGGCCAGAGACCCCGATCTGGGCCCAACGACCTGGGCTCAGAGGCGCCCGAGCATGCGTTAGGGCGCGAGCCACCGCCTCCTGGAACCTGAGAGCCCGCCCCGCGTGCCGCCGCACTGGCTCGGGCTTTTCTACGGCAACGCGGCGCGTCCCCGCGCTCAGGGCCTGAGTGGGCAGGAGCGCCCCGCGAACGCGACGGAGGGGCAGGCCAAGTGTGGCCAGTGAGCTAATATTCCATTGTATATGCATATCATTTCTTTGTTATCCATTCATCTGTCAATGGATACTTAAGTTGCTTCCATAATTTGGCTATTGTAAATAGTGCTGCAGTAAACATAGGGTGTGTATTTCTTTTTGAATTAGTGTTTTCATATTCTTTGGGCAAATACCCAGTAGTGGAATTACTGGATCCTATGATAATTCTATTTTTAATTATTTGAGGAACCTCCATAATGTTTTTCACAGTGGCTACACCAGTTTGTATTCCCACCAGCAGTGCACAAGGGTTCCTTTTTCTGCACATCTCACCAACACTTGTTTCTTGTGTTTTTGATTTTAGCCATTCTGACAGGTATGAGGCGATACCTCGTTGTTTAGATTTGCATTTTTCTGATGATGAATGATGTTGAACATCTTTTCATGTGTCTGTTGGCCATCTGTATGTCTTCTTTAGAGAAATGTCTGTTCATGTCTTCTGCCCATTTTTAAATTGGATTATTTGCTTTTTGGTTTTGAGTTGTAGAAGTTCTTTATATATTTGGGCTACTAACCCTTGATCAGATATGTCATTTGGAAATATCTTCTCCCATTCAGTAGGTTGTCTTTTAGTTTCATTAATCGTTTCCTTATTTGTGCAGAAGCTTTTTATTTTGGTGTAGTCTCAGTAGTTTATTATTGTTTTTGTTTCTCTTGCCTTAGGAGACATATCTAGAAAAATGTTGTTATAGTCAATGTCAGAGAAATTAATGCCTGTGCTCTCTCCTAGGATTTTTATGGTTTCAGTCTTCACATTTAGGTCTTAAATGCATTTTGAGCTTATTTTTGTGTGGTGTAAGAAAGTGGTCCAGTTTCTTTCCTCTTTCTTTCTTTCTTTCTTTCTTTCTTTCTTTCTTTCTTTCTTCTTCCTTCCTTCCTTCCTTCCTTCCTTCCTTCCTTTCTTCTTTCTTTCTTTCTTTCTTTTCTTTCTTTCTTTCTTTCTATTTCCTTCTTTCCTCCTTTCCTCCTTTCCTCCCTTCCTCCCTTCCTCCCTTCCTTCCTTCCTTCTTTTTGCATGTAGCTGTCCAGTTTTCCCAATGCTATTTGTTGAACAGACATTATTTTTCCCATTGGATATTCTTCCATGCTTTGTCAAAGATTGGTTGATCATATAATTGTGGATTTATTTCTGGGCTATGTATTTTGTTCCAATGATCTATGTATCTGTTTTTGTGCCAGTACCTTAGTGTTTTGATTACTACAGCTTTGTAGTATATCTTGAAATCTTGTCTTGTGATACCTCCATGTCTGTTTTTCTTTTTGAAGATTGTTTTTCCTATTTGGGATCTTTTATGGTTCCATACAAATTTTAGGATTGTTTGTTGTAATTCTGTGAAAAATGCTGTTGGTGTTTTGATAGGGAATGCATTAAACCTGTAGATTGCTTGGAGTGATATGGACATTTTAACAGTATTTGTTCTCCCAAGCCATGAGCATGGAATATCTTTCCATTTGTTTGTGTCATCTTCACTTTCTTTCATCAATCAATGTTTTGTTTTCAGAGTAGAGGTCTTTCACCTTCTTGGTTAAATTTATTCCTAAATATTTGATACTTTTGGTCCAATTGTAAATGTGATTTTTAAAAATTTCTCTTTCTGCTACTTTATTATTGGTATATAGAAATGCACTGGGTTTCTATATATTGATTTTGTATCCTGCAAATGGTGTCTTGTTTTGATATGCATTGCTTTAATCATGAGTGGATTTGAATATTTTCTTTCTTGTCTTTTTTGCCCATTTCTATTTCTCTTTCTATGAATATTGAATAATTTTTCCTTTTTTTTTTTTTTTTGCTTACTTTCTTCATCAACTGTTATGAAACTCTTTATAGGTTAAAGAATTTCTCTTCCCTGCGGTGTATGTGAATTTGTTCAGTTCATTTTTGGCTTTTTTTTTTTTTTGCTAGAGAGAAGTTATACATTTTTAAGTACCAATATTTGTCAATATTTTCTTCCATGGCTTCTAAGTGTTTTTATCCTGCCTAGAAATATTTTTATGACTCTAGGGCTACAATAATTATGTATGTGCTTTCTTCTAGGAATGTATTTGTTTATTTTATTGATATAAGGAATTGTATGGGGTAAGAGCTTCTTTTTCCCTCCAAAACATTAGTCAATTGCCCTAATATAATTTTTCATGTATTAACTCCAACATGGAAAACAATGCCAAACTGTTTTAATCATAACAATATCATAGTATTTTTAATATGTGTTTAGGCTTGAGTCCTTTCATTACTATACTTTCTCAGAATTTTCTTTAATATTTTATATTCATTCTTCTTGAAGATCTTTTGGCATCATTTCATGTTACTAATAAAAAATCTCATTAGTATTTTAATTTTGTCTGTGAAAGTTGTATATTAGTTTTGGGGAAACTTTACATTTTTTTTTCAATATTGAGTTTTCTTATGTTAGAACATGTCATGCAATTAAATCTTAGTTCATGTTTCTCAGTAGTTTTACATTTTGCTTCATATGGATCCTATGCATTTCTCAAATTAATTTTAAGCTATTTTATTTTTGGGAGTGGCGTTCTGAATTGAATCTTTTCTTCCATTAATCTTCTCATGGTTATAGTTTATATATAAGAAAACTTAATTTTAATGTTAATTACATAAATTTGTTAAAAAATTTTTTTAATGAGTTTTATCTGGACTGTCTTGAGTTTTGTAAAATAACAACCATATGTCATCCCCAAAATAATGGAAACATTTCTTGATTTCAATTGTACACCTTTATTGATGTTTTTTTTCTTTTTCCTAATTGCATTGGCATGTCCTTGTTTAAAGATAAGTGTGGAAATAGTGGACATTCTGGTATTCTCTCTGACATTAATGGCGACTTTTAGGGTTTCTGTTAAGCATATATCTAGCTTTTAATTTCAGATACATATTCATTGTCTTAAGAAGTGTCTATTTCTGCTGTTAATGTCTTACTCCAGGTTATGAGTGAGATTTAAAACAAAATTTGAAGTTATTTATCTAGAGCCCAGTGGGTTTTCACGGAAATAGCCATTTTATTTATTTTATTTATTTATTTATTTATTTGAGAGAGAGAGAATGAGAGAGAGAGAGAGCATGAGAGGGGGGAGGGTCAGAGGGAGAAGCAGACTCCCTGCGGAGCAGGGAGCCCGATGCGGGACTCGATCCCCGGACTCCAGGATCATGACCTGAGCCGAAGGCAGTCGCTTAACCAACTGAGCCACCCAGGTGCCCCGGAAATAGCCATTTTAAAATGATGTGTTCACCATATTGTAAATGGCTCATAACTATAGTCTTTGGGTCAAATCTGTCCTCCATTTCATAATGTTCTTGCTCTGACTTCAGTTCAGATGGGAGCAAATGCAATTACACATAAGAGTAAAAGCTAATCCAGCACTTTTTATTCCATGAATAGGAATTAAAACATTTTAGTGCCCAAGCTTGAGCATTATGCTGATAAGGGAAGGGGATCCATCATGGAGTTTCTGCAGAGAATAGACTTTCCTATACATTACCACTTCATCCTCCCTGCCAGCATCACAGAAACAATGGGTTGCTCCCATGAATCATTTCAAGGGTTACATACTTTTTTTTTTAGCATATCCTGAGATTTTTTTCAACTTGTGAGAGTAAAACTTTTAAAAATGTATAACCATATGTCCAGATTTGAAATCAGTTAAGAAGCCAAGCTTGTTGGCTATTATAATGATAAAATAGGCCAATTTCTGCATCAGGTCATGGCTAAATTGAAAGTACGTGCAATCCCCCCTGGATGCAATTATTTCTCATGTAGCCCTTTTAATAACGCTCACATTTTGTGCCAAATAAGCTGATCAATAGTAGTTCTGGGAGAACATCTCATCAATGCCAGTGTGTCCTGCATGATTCTTATGAACAAATTAAAACTAAAAAGACATACTAAAGTGATCTCCTTCTTACCAGCTCCTGGGGGTAGGCACTGAGGAAAGGTGAGTAGGGAGTTGAAATTTATAAAAATAACCATGGCCCTCCAGGGAGAAGCAAACCATATAGAGACAGTGAAATTCTTCAAGGAGAAGGATCAAAGTCCTTTTGCAGCCCCTTCATCATCTAGATTGTACAGGGGTGAGCAGTGTGATCACTGGCTGAATGAGACACCTGTCTCTTTTCCTCTCTTTCCTGGGCCCATCCTCCACAGGCCCTACTGTGGGGGCACTGGCCTCTCAGCACCTTTGCTTTATAGTCACTAGTTTTCAGAGCTCAGTGGAACAGACCCTTCACATGCAGGAAGTAAGGGAACAGCCCCTTCGCATGCAGGAAGTAAGGGAAGTATGTATCCAAGGGCGGTTGTCTAGGGGGCATATCATGGTTAAAAAATGTTCATATCAAAAACTAATGATGTAATGTATGGTGACTAACACAACATAATAAAATAAAATAAAATAAGTGTTCAGGATTTCATGGCAACCCATTAAGCATGGGACTAAGTTGAGATACCCCAGTTGATCTGCCCAATGGCTGGGAGCTAAGTTCCATGTGATTGTGGCATGACCCAAAACTACATGAAAAAATTGCAATAATTAGGTAATCCAGATGCCACCTTTCCTCTCATCCCCAACTTGTATCTTAGGAACATCATTTTTGAAACAAAATATAATCATTACCTCTTACATAATGTGATGGGTAAAGGAGGAATTTCTCTGGTTGAAAGGGTGAAAGATTGGGAGTTCTCCATTAGTCTTTCCCTGGCATCCCTTCCCTACAAGGATTTATACATGATAAGCACATATTATCATATTAATGAACATTCCAATAACTTGTTACAGATTTTTGTAAACATGGTAATACATCAACAAGCATTTATTAAACTATCGAGTTTACTACTTTGTTTTATGGATATACAGAAGAATATTAGACACAGGTAGTGTCCTTTATGGGTTTTAGTTTAGTTTGAAATAGTAATTATTGTAACCCAAAGAATAAGAACTAACTCAGTTACTTTCCCCATCAAC